CTCATCACAGCTCTCACAAGACCACACCAAAAGTACGAGTATTAATTTATTTACTAATGACAAAATTATACACATCTTCGTAATATAAAAATTATTAAAATTACATCATACTTTTGTTTTTTTAGTTTCGTACCACGTTGAATCGTTGATCTTTTTTATACATGTATATCAAAATTCAAATCAACAATATGAGATTATGAGACCCCTCATCCCTCCCTCGTACAAACAAAATTATACAGTACTCCGTACAAAATACTCTGTATTCTATATACTCGGTATATACCGTAACAACAATAATAAACAACAAATCAGACAAACATTACCCTAATTAAATCATTCAAATGCCTAATTAAAAATTAGAGAAATTAAGTTGAAAATCATACCATGAATAAGATTAAAGACGCTGCCATTAGGTTGATAATCATAGATAATCAACCTTTCTTCCTTAGCTTGAAAATAAGCTCGAACAGGTACTAAATTCGGGTGACGCATACCACCAACAATTTCCATAACCCTCTCAAACATCTGACCATCAACACCACTCATTTTAATCGCATCAAGCCTTTTAACGGTCACGATTAACTGATTATCCAGCTTGGCTTTGTATGTGGTCCCCATTGTTCCTCTTCCCAACATCTCCGCCGAACCTCTCATCAGCTGTTCTAGGGTGTACAGTTGTGCTTCTCCTATGCAAAACACCAGATTCCCGCTCTTCTCTCTCCTCCCTCCACCACTACCTTGTTCATTCTTCATACATTTTTCATCTTCTAATTCGTTACTTTGTGAATCAAATCTAACCCTAATTACTTCCGATTGTTCAGTCATTACTTCGCCGGAAGAAGATAAATCTCCGGCGTAATCTTTGGTTGTTTTCGGAATCAGCGTCGTCTTCTTCTTCGCGGCTAAAAGCATGAAGAACAATGACGATATTAGGAGTAAACCACCTAATGAAAACCCTAGAATCATGATTGTTTTCTTCCGGTGTGATTTCATTCCTGGAGGAGAGAGGAGTGATTCGGAAGCAGTTAACGAATTTGAAGGAGAAGAAGAAGGTTGGTTCATAGCAGAAGAAGAATCGAAGAAAGGAGAGCGAGAATCGCAGGGTTTATTAACAATGTCGCCGCATAAATTAGGGTTCAACGAAAACGAAGAAGGAGTGAACTGAGAGAGAGTGGAAGTATCCGGAATCTTCCCGGAGAAGTTATTACCAGAGACATTGAAGAAGAGCAAGGCGGACTGGTTGAAGTTGGGGAGAGAGCCATTGAAGGAGTTGAACTGAAGCTTGAGAGTGGTGAGGCGGTCGAGGTGGAGGAAGAGAGGAGAGAGAGAGCCGGAGAAGTTGTTGAAGGAGAGGTCGAGAACGCGGAGTTTGTAGAGAGAGAAAATGGAGGGAGGGAGGGAAGAAGAGAAGGAGTTGTGGTCGAGGAGGAGAGAGCGGAGGTTGGAGAGAGAGTGGAGGTCGGAGGGGAGAGGGCCGAAGAGGGAGTTGTTGCGAAGGACGAGGACGCGGAGTTGGTCGAGGGAGGAGAGGGTGTTGCGGGGGAAAGTGCCGCGGAGGGAGTAGTTAGGGAGGGAGAAGCGGACGACGCGAGCTTGTTGGCATTTGACGCCTTGCCAATGGCAGTAGTCGAAGTGTTCGTGGAGTGAGAAGAGGAGTTTGTTGTCGAGGTCGGCTTTCGATTTGAAGGATAACAGGGAGGCTGCGTCGTTTGGGGGGACTGGGACTGCTTGAGGTGTGGTTTGAGAGGAGAGAGAGAGGAGGAGGAAGAGGGTGAGGGTGAGAGGGTGCATTGGAACTTGGAAGGTTAGGAGAGAGAAAGATGAGGTTGAGAATGTTGGGATGTTAAAGCCATGAAAGGCGAGGAGATGATAGTACTGGTATTGGTATATCAGGCTATCAGAGAAGTATGGGGGGTGTGGGGACTGAGTCACTGAGAAGAATTTCTCGTCCTATAATAATGTGCATGTTTGATGATTAAAATAATCTTATTGCTACTTCCTCTATCCTTTTTCTTTTTTTTTTAGGCATCCTTGTATCTTTGCTTCATTCAACTTATGGTTTTTTTAAGATGCATTTTAAACAAAAATATTTTCATTATGGGTAAATTCTAAGGGCCTGTTTTCTTCAGATTATTTTAAATATATTTCAGTTTAGTTTTTAATAAATATTTAATTCAGTTCAATTCAGCTCCAATCAGTTCAGTTTAGTTTAGCTCAGCTCAATTCAGTCAATCAGAACCGGCCATAATACTATAAAAGTACTATGTGTGTACTTATACAAATTCAATCAAATTACATATGATTATATTATTTCTTATATATTAATGATAGGGTTAAAGTTTTGTAAATTTGACTTATCTAAATGTAATAGGGCAAACAAATAGGAGATGTAGTACTTTCTTGTGTATGTGTCATACTTCCTTTAATATTTGTTGTAACGGTTTGACTGATACATTAACTAATATACACCATTCTGTATTAATTCTCGTAAAATATAAAGTATAAAAAATAAAAATAAAAAAATATTGAAAATACATTGAGATAAATCTAATTACACGGTCTAGACGGTGTCCAAGATTTACTAATGACAACAAAAAATTGGGAAGCGGGTAACTTTGAGTTGGAGAGGTTGGAGTGTTGTTGGGAGTGTTGGGAGGAGGTGAGAGTTTGTTGGTTGGAAATAGAAAGAGGAGATTGAGGGGAGCAGCTGGCGGAACACAGTTTTTGGAAGGGTCTGAAATGGTTAGAGGAGTCACATGGGATGACAATACAAGACTTTGTTGACACTTACACTACACTAAACTAGAAACTAGTCTTGTTTTTCAAACATAACACTGTTTTGCTAGGATTACGCAGTTGAAAATGATGCTACCACAGAGCTGATTTGATTTTGAGATTGGTTTCTTTCATGTAGAGTACTAGACTCAAGTTGGGCCAAAAAACACACACCACTGCATTAGTCCACCGCTACTCAATCTAATGTGCAAACAAACAATACGGACTACGTAGTGTTGGAGACCTTGGAGTATTAAACTCGTGTTTTAAAACTCCTTCCGTCTCTTGTTATTTGCACCATAAATAACTCGTATGTATTTATCTTTTGGTTATGTCTATGATTTGGTCATATCACTCTCATCTAAGTCTGCAATTTTACCAGTATAGAGTTTTACTTTTTATTGCTTCTTACTCTAGAAATCACATCGTCAACTCGTGATCATTTAACTAATTGTATACTTATGATGAGCTAATAAGACACAAGTCTCACCTTTTTTTTCTTTTTTTTTTTCTTCTACTTTGTGCAATTTCTACGAGTACATGGGCAATATGAAAAGCAAAAGTTAGTAATAAGAGTAAAGTTTACAAAAACAATCAAAGTAGATTAAAGTTACTACTCAACTTTCTAGCTGCTAATCTTTGAAGGTTAAGACCACCTCCACTACATAATGACAAGAAATAAAGTATCATTGCCTTATAATTACTTTAGCTCCATTTGAAGTGTTAAGTTGCTAACCCACTAAAAAAAGTGAATGATTGTGAGGCTGTGAGCTACCTATGTCCTTTTTAAATTTACATGACCTAAAATGAATAAATTGCCATACTATACACCAATATCCTTATTGTCATTAGGTCTTTTTTTTTTAAAAAAAAGGGGGTCCTTTTAAGTTTTACTTCGTATTTGTTAACTAATACTCGTAGACGCAATTTCTATCTTACTCCTGGAGTACCGTGCACATGGTACTTCAGATTTTATAAATTCATGTTATTTTGATATTAACTTCTTATTATTTCAATTTATATATATGTTATTTTTAAATAAATGTATGTTATTTTGCTTTTTTTTCTCAGTCATCTTCCTCCCATACTCTCTCTTCCTCTCTCAGCTACTCCAATTCAAAATCACACACATTCTCTTCCCTTTTTCATCCAATTTTCTGGGTTTCCCAAAAATCAACCTCTCACTCTCTCTCTTCCTCTCACTACTCCAATTCTAAATCAAAGACACTTTCTTTCTCCTCTTTTCTTCTTCCAATAATCTGGGTTTCTTAGAAATTAATTGATTTGAAGCCATTTAAGGATTCAAATGTGTTCATGTCAAGAAATTTAATACCTCTTGAAGTGTTCGATTCTCTTTAAACTCAAAGCTGCTAATGTTATTTTGATGTATAACTTATTATTATTTCAATTTATATACATGTTATTTATAAATAAGTACTTGTTATTTTGTAAATTAAAAATAGCATGAATGGAGGTTGAAGTAAATAAGTAAATAACATATTGTTGTAACAAAATAAGTAAATAACACAACATTTAAGCAAAATAACAAAAAGTGTACGCAAAATAACTCAAACATATTTGTAAGGAGTATCATGATCCATTGTACTCCAGGAGTATATAATACTAATTGTAATCACAAATTTTTTAAGCAAGTTTTGGAGATTAAAGAGAAAAAAAATACGGACTCATATAAGTGATAGATTTTTTTTTACGAAGAAAAGTGATATATCTATATTAAAACTTTTGTATAAAAAAAAAAAAAAAAAATTGATGCATTTGAAAGGTTGAGGGGACGTGTTAGGCAAAATATAGCTGTGAAGGTAGCTGTCAGCTGTCAACAAGCTGTTAGCTGTGAAGATAGATAATTTAGATATAAGTGTTCAGTAAAGTAGCGGTTGACTAGCTGTTACATTTAAAAATCAATATTTTATATTTAACACTGTAGATTAAATTTTCAACAATTACCTCAAAAGCTATTTCTAATTTCAAAAACTAATATTTCTAATTTTTCATAAAAACTACATTAACCACTATTTTGCCAAACACTTACGGAGTACATTTTTTTTAAGTAGTGATTCGGCCAAGTCAAACCACTAAAAATTACAATTACTTTGTATGTTGTTAATAGAAAATATAAAAAAGAGTAATTATATTGATTAACAACCTAAAAAAGACGCTTAATTATTTGCAAAAGACGATGACGTGTCCAATAGTAGATAGCATTATCGAGTGCTGACGATACGAACGATGCTTGCTACCTTGCCAATAATATAGATTTGTTTACAAACATAATCAGCAGCGCAGATAGAGGAAAGACGTTTTAAGTTTAATTCAATGGCAACTGACTTCAAATCAATTCCTGTCATAGGTATATTCCTTCATCACTCTTTCTATCTTAATTTACTCTTTTTTATTATTTATTTATTATTTATTTTGTTTTTTTATATACTTCGTGTACAGTAATTTCTGTCATATGAATGAAATTATTGTTAGAATAATACGAGTAGAATTATTCTCGATTTAAATTGTCCACAAGAAACCATTTCATTTACTTGTACTACGTATATGAAATGAATGGCATACTTGAGATGCTAAATTATAATTTCAATGGTGGTGCATATGTCCATTTTGTGGGCGTACTCCATCCATTTTACAAGGTTTTATTCATCATTCGCGAATTACACATAGAAAAATAAAAAATTTGCTATGTAATTTATGTCTAAGGCAAAGCACACAATATCACGCAACATGTACATAAAGATATTAATGGTTAAAGTTGTGTGATCAAGAAAAAAAAAAAAACCGATAGTAACTTCATGGAACGGATGAACAGAGTAATTAAGATAGTAGATTATAAGGGACAAACAACTTTAATCAATTTTTTGGAAATGGAAATAGATTAAACTAGGGAGCCCTGTTATAATTGATCTTTATGGTAGACTGCTAGTTGCTTATGAGTATAAAGTGGTAGAGATATTATCATATCTAAGTGTCAGTGATCATAATTTGAATTTCAGTGATTCTTTTTTTTTCCCTTTGACACAATGCAGATGTTAGTCCTCTGCTTGCGAAATCTGATGATGCAAACATGGCTGAGGATGCTGGTGTATGTGAGGTTGTGAAACAACTCGATAAAGCATGCAGAGAGGCTGGTTTTTTCTATGTGGTATTCAAATTTCGTATACACTCCTCGAGTAGTTTTTATAAGATTAGCTTAGTGTTGTTGCCTTCCCTTAGACTTGTTCCAATTTGCCAAAACTTCGTGTCGTGCACATGTGATAGATGATCACACTGCCGAGAAGTCAAAGACTTGGATGATCCCAAACAATTCCTTTTAATGTCCAGGGAACTGTAATTACTATGTCGAAATGTGTGATTGCAGATAAGATGAGTTAATGTTATCAACATGAACCTAATGATCCTCATTAAGGAACAATTATGTCCTTATTGATTCCGTATGATTATAGGCATGAACTTGATGTAAAGTACAATTATGTATTGTCCTCATCAAAAATTTCCATCAGGCATTAGGTCTTAACTCCATGTATTTGCTGAAATGAATTTTCCGCTTTTAGACATGCACCAAAATTAGGAATCACCGGTTTCTGTGTTACACTGTTACCAAATCTTTTTGTATGAGCACGATGTTAGTAAAACTTTACCACAATCAGAGTCGGAAATTTGCTTTTACAACAAACAATCTTATGTTACAGTATTGAATATTTGAATGGTTCTGGTTTTTTTTGCTGATTAGAAAGGCCATGGCATCCCGGACTCCCTTTTAAAGGAAGTCAGAGAAGTCACCCATAAGTTTTTTGAACTTCCTCTGGAAGAAAAACTCAAGATCAAGTTATCTGCTGCAACGGGTTACAGGTTATAAATTTCATTTATTGTATACTTACTCTTTTCAGCTTTGTAAAGAGCTTCACTCAATGTACTAGTATCTTTACTTTGAATCTTAAAATGCAGAGGCTATCAAGAAGTTGGAGACAATATAACCAAGGGTGTGCCTGATGTGCACGAAGCTATCGATGTAAGTCAATGTTCTATAATCCCTCGTTGATGAAGCAATCGAGCAATATAATTACTCTTAATTGGAATTTGCTTAACAGAATGTGTTTCGTTTTGACTATACCTCAATGCATGGACTCATTCTATTTTTTTAATTGTGATTTTCTATGTACTGTGAAGTGAAAATAGACATATTGGAGGACTCATTTCTCATAATTTTCTTTTTGTTCTAGTTGTACAGAGAATTGGAGCACGGAATGTACGGAGACATGGGGAAACCAATGATAGGACCAAACTTATGGTATGTGCAAACACCATGGTTTTTATTTGAAATTTGTCTTCTATGACAAATGCATAGATAGTACTTATATAAGTTTAATCTCGACATTGGTTTACTCCATGTTTCTTTTGATTTCGGAATCAAACGGGTTGTGTGTTGTGTGGAAGTGACTGAACGTGCATGTAGCTTGAGTATTCTAGTACAGAGTAGTGCATTAAGATCATATATTTACAATCTTGAGGATCCATCACAAATATCCATCAGCTCAGATTGAACTTCTAAGCTTTGTGCTCTTACTCGAGGTATTGTAAGACAAATGGATTTACTCCCCTTAGTGCAGGCCATCCAAGCCTCAGAACTTTAAAGTAGTGATGGAGCATTATACAGACCTATGCACAGGCATGTTTTCTATCTCATATCTCTCCTCTCGAGACCAATACTGTGCATTTGCTTGTATTCGATCCAACCAAGGTTTCTTTTTATTGGCATGAAAACAGAACTTTCTAGGAAGATTATCCAAGGTATTTCCCTAGCCTTAGGTGGATCAGTCAATGAGTTGGAAGGTCGTATAGCAGGCAATCCATTTTGGGTCATGCGTTTGATCGGTTACCCTGTGATCTCGAGGGAAAATGGGCATAACAAACTTGAAAATGACATTGGATGGTAAATTATTAGGATAACATTACTTTGGATTCTTGCATTTCTTCACTCATTATTTGCTGTCTAATGTCTTTGTTTTGTTATTGTGTTCAATTTTTAAACGAAACCTCAGTGGAGCTCACACAGATTATGGTAAGTTTATTCTTTGCAAAGGTTAGAGACTTATGGCTTTTATGTGATGGTATTGATCTCAGCATGATTTTCAATAGGTCTTTTGACGCTTGTCAATCAAGATGATGGCATAACAGCACTACAGGTACATTTAGTGTACAAGGGACCAGCCTTTCAAACTTGTAGACTTAACATGATTACATAATTCCCAGTTCATATTTTAAGCTCTTGTTTGTGTGTTACTTATGCTCGTTCCACCTCAAATGTGTTGAAGGTTCGGAATCATTCAGGAGAATGGATTTGGGCTCCTCCGATTCCTGGGACATTTGTCTGCAACATTGGCGATATGTTGAAGGTATATTGCCCTCTCTTTGTTATTTGTGGTCATGGAATCTCAGATCTATTATATCGAATTTGAATACGTAGGCTTGTGCAGATTCTTACCAATGGAATATACGAGTCCACCTTACATCAGGTCATCAACAAGTCTCCCAAATATCGTGTTTGTGTTGCCTACTTCTATGAGGTTGGACTCTCTTTATATCTCCTATATGCTATTCTCTATCTTGTTTAGTGAAAGCTAAATGAACATATGATGGTGTGCCTGTATTCGCAGACAAATTATGATGCAACAATTGAGCCTTTGGACATTTGTGTACAGAAGACCGGGGGGATCAAAAAACTTGGGCAAGCTGTTTACGGGGAACATTTAATTGGTAAAGTCACAACTAATTTTCGGTACTAAAAAAAAAAAAAAAGGTACAGAATAAAAATTAGAGTTTAATGGTCATATTGTACCTAAAGAAAGAACAAATTGTGCCATCCCATTTGATAAATGACCAAAAAGAGGTACTCGTAACAAATAGCCTGAGTTCCTGATATTTATTTACAAGTATGATCTTATGTTATAAACTTATAATGTTATTCATACCAATTGGTTGTTGGTGTGGTGGTGATTGAGACTACAATTGGTAGGAAGGACTCGTGTTCAATCCCCCACAACAACAATCGGGAGGGGATTGGAACCTAACCATCCAGAATTGATCCCCGAATCCAGATTAGCCCTTCAAAGGATGAAACGGGTGGAACACCAAAAAAAAAAAAGTTTTAATGTTATTCATTTCTTTGAATGTTAGGTTGGAATATATTATGGGCTTTGCCCAAGTAATCCATGCTTCTTTTGTGTTGAAAAAAAAAATATCTTATGTTATTGGGCTGGATGATTGGATTAATGATTCTCTTCACAAATTGTTACTGTACTAGTGATCTAATTGGATTAATAATTCTCTTCACAAATTGTTTTCATTCAAGATTTGGTATGAATTTTTTAAGTTTAATTTTCAGATGAAAATATCGTTTTTATTAGACAATATTTGCCGTAATAGTAGTAATAGTACCAAGGCGTGTGCACTCAGCAGCATAGTTTAATGCATGTGCTCATAACAACAGAAATTATAATTAAAATCAAGGGTGCATGTTGCGATTTAAACGATGGCTAGAATATTGAATACTACATTTATTTTATATTATTTACAATGATTTGATATACGATGTATCAAAAGATGTTTAATCATTATCAACATTACTTCTGTTTCTTATTAATTATTTATAATAAAAAAATATTTTTATCTCATAAATTTTTGTTGTAAAATAATATAAAATAGAGGTAATAATATAAAATGGCGGTAGAATTATATTAAGTAGCAATTAATTAAATTAAATTGTTTTTAAAAGGCAAAATGGCCTACAACAACAAAACCGACTTTTGTAAAGGAGCTACAAACAATAAGTCCCATACGTGAAAAGAGGTAATCGGGGTTCTCTTCTTGGGCTGTTGGTGGCAGCATAGATTTTGGATCTTCCTAGGATTCGATGCCGAGTAAGGTAAGCAATATAAATTACACTAATAGTCAATTTGAAATAAATTTAATAAATTTTAGGAAAAATACACTTTAATAATTTTTTAACTTTTTTTGAAGAACTTTAATAATTTCAACTATGGGCGATTTACTTTGAATTATCTCAACTAAAGTTTATTATCTAATAATCCTAACTGGTCAACACCAAATCAACAACCTGTTATAACAGATTATCATGATACGTGTCGATATGTGATTGGTCCAATTTTTTTTAAAAAAAAACATAAAAAATCCCATCCACCTATCCCCAACGTCAAACCCTAACCCCCACCCATAGCCTCGCCAGAAACCGGCCGACCACCCCTCTTACCCACTGAAACCGAACAACCAACCACCTTTGACCTATCCTCGACCTCCAAAACCACAAACACAGTGAGTTGGATGGGAGGTGGTTTTGGTGGTCATGAGTTGGTGGTTGGCCTGATTCCGGCAAGGTTAGGGTTTGTGGGGTGGCTAGGAATTTTTTTAATTTTTTTTTTTGCACTAGTGATACATTGACACGTGGTTATTTAAAAAAAAAAAACTATTTCAGCAAGTTATCGGTCATTGTGACTATTGTTTGCAAACAACCCCATAGTTAGGATTATTAGATTATAAACCTTAGTTGGGATTATTATAAGTAAATCGCCTATTGTTGATATTATTAAAGTATATTTTTCCTAAATTTTATAGTACTTGTAGTAATAAGGAAACTTTTTAATTTATAATGAATATAATTGTATTTTTATGTATAATTGGTGATTTTAATGGATACATGAGACAAATATGATTAATCTATATATTATAAGTGTCCTTAAGGACAAAATTGAATTATAAAAATGTTAACTTTTATACTTCGTATTATATAATGGCAACTCGAACTAAATACTTTTAGTGTACCATACAATAAGTTAATTAAAGGCTTATATAATAATAATAATAATAATAATAATAATAATAATAATAATAATATAATAATAATAATAATAATAATAATATAATAATAATAATAATAATAATAATAATAATAATAATAAAAGTCCATTTTAATATACTTTTCTAATTTTTTTTTTCATCTTTAAAAATCTAGCAGGTTTTGTGTGTGTCCAGCTCACACACAACTAACCTTTGACGGACCAAATAGCCTCTGATTGAGTAACCCTTGACGGACCAAAAAACCCCTGACCGAGTAACCCCTAACCGACCTAGTAACCCCTAATCCAGTAACCAGCTCTTGACCAAATAACCCCTAACCGACCTAATAACCCTTGACTAAGTAAATTGTGATTAGCCAGCCACATATGAAAGTTTGTACTCGTATTAAAAGTTTTACCTCATTGCCCGATTGCGATTACTTTATGATAATTTTATTATCATGTAATGTAATTACATCGTGCCTTCAAATACGAGTAAGTATTACCCACTACCAGGTATGGATAATACTACCCAATACCACACTATACTTTTTTTATTTTTTTTCTTTTCCCTAGGCCTTATCTACAATAATTCTATCTACAACACACATGACAAGCATGTGCTTTTATTCTAGCTTAGAAAGCTAGAAAATGGACAGTAAGGCAATTAAAACCAACCACCTAATTTAAATACCATTAAATAGATAATGAATTAATTGAATTATCTAATGTGCACAAACTGTTGCACGTTACCAAAAATAAGACAAGTATACTATGAGAGTAGTGATAGACCACTACCAGGCATGGGCTCGTTGGGCTCAAACCAGGGGGCAAAAATGTAATTTCAGGTGTTATTTACCCATGTTGTAAAAATGTAGTCTCTCTCCTCTTAATAACAGTATACAAATTAAGAATAACAATATACAAATCAAGAATTACGATACATAAACCAATAATAACAGTATAAAAATTAATAATAACTGAGCGATTTTTAACGGAGATAGTTGCGTGTTTTTGGATGTTCGACCAAGGTAGTAGCTAGTGGGGTGGGTTTCTTGCCGTTGGAGGTGAAGGTGTGGTGGGCGGAGGTTTGGCCAGCAATGAGAGCTATCCATGAAGGTGGGGAAAGGCCGAAAGGGTTTAAGGGAGGAAGAAGATGAAGAGGAAAGGGAAAAAAAGGGACAAGAAAAAAAATAAAAAAATATATTGTGATATTGGGTAGTATTACCCATACTGGTAGTGGGTAGTACTTACTCTATAAAGGCGAGGCTATAAAAGCAAGTTAGAGTTGTAATACTCATGCACTCTCTCTCTCTCTCTCTCACCCTCACTCCATTCTCGCTCTCAATCACAATCACAATCACAATCACACTCCCAGTACAAAATTTTGGAATTGATATCAATCATGTTCCATCTAGATTCATTTCCTATTATAGGTAATACGAAGTATTATGTTCATTGCTCTTTTTTGTTACTTTATTTTAAGTACAAGGTTTTCTTTTTGTTCATTTGTTTTAATTTCATCCTTCCTTGATATTTTGACAGTATAGAATTTAAGAAAGTACTGTTATTAGTCACCTTAATAATGATAAATAAAAAAATAAAAAAATTACCCTTACACAGCTATATCGTAATACCATTATACTTCAAAGGAAGATGTTAAATATTCATTCCGAAGCTTTTTAGAGTTTATACTCTTTTGCTTCTACAAGTTTGCATTTTTTTCCATGTCTAACTTAAAAACTTAACGTTTCTTTTTTAATAAAAAATTTCGACATTATAACCTCAAATTATTATATAATATTGCTGATCTAGTCCTTCATAAAAAATAAGTTGCTAGTATATACTATTATTATATTGCTGATCTAGTCCTTCATAAAAGTAAGTTGCTAGTATATACTATGTATAGTCGTATTACTTGTATATACATAACAATAAAATAATCATAATGTTATCTTTAATACTTGTATAATTTAATTAATTAACTAACACTATACTTTGAGAGAGATTTATTGTAAAAGTTGGCCATTGAAAAGCAAAACAAACCATGTTTACGACAGAACTATTTATTTGTGATTTAGAACAATCATTTTAATTTTCTAAATTGTAGATTTAATTCACCAGAGAGTTGCAATGTGTTGTGTTCTTGAATACCAAGTTAAAATGTTTGTATCCCTTAAAAAGAATGTGGTAATATCCTCTTAATTTTTAATTTAAATGTACTTTGGTTTAATTTGTAATAAAATTCATTTATTACTCACACAATACAGAGCAATAAGCCTATAAATAAAGAAGGGAGAGAGTAGAGGATTTCATAGTTCTAATGACATACATAATGATAATGCAGATATTAGTCCTTTGGTTGCAAAAGCAGATGATGCAAACATGGCTCAAGATGCTGGTGTTTGCGAAGTTGTAAAACAGCTGGATAAAGCTTGTAGAGAGCATGGGCTTTTCTATGTGGTACATACTCCATTATTTAGATGCACTAGTCTTGCAAGAGATTTATTTCATTTTGTTATTGACTTATTAATTAACCCCTTGATCGTGTCTAATTAGGCCCTAGCACAATTATTCACCTAATATTTCCTTTGCGAATTTGAATTAGATTTGCTGTTTTTATGTTACTGTAATTAAATTATTGTTGCTAAGTTTCAAAAAAAAATATTATTATTGCTAAACTAAAATTATTAGTAAAATTACACTATATATATTGATTATTCACTATTATATTTGTTGTTTAAAGTTAAAAAATTCATGAAACTTAACTTATTGCTGAAATATTATTTTTTTTTTATTTTTTTTTGGTATTCTACCCTGTTCACCCTTTGGGCTAATCCGGATTCGGGGATCATTTAATTTTTTGTTGTATTTAACTTATTGCTGAAATATACATATGTTGTATTTATTTTATTTAATGAAAATTATTTTAACTAAATATTATTTTTTTTAAGCTGCAAATTAAACAACAAGGCCTTAGGGCCTGTTCATATTTACTTATTTTCAGATCATTTCAGTTCAGTTCTTAATTTTTTGTTTTAGATGTTTTAGCATATTACAATGACAATAATAATAATAATAATAATAATAATTATTATTATTATTATTATTATTTTAAATTATATTCGTCGTTCTAAATGGTCACAGTAAAATATTGAAGAATACTTTATATATATATATATATATATATATATATATATATATATATATATATAATATAATATAATATAATATTACAAAATTTAATAATTTAAAATACAGAGTTATTTTTATAACACTTTTATATTTTCCACAATCCACTATATATATTATCATTAATTTTCATAAAAGTTTTCATATATTTTTATGCTTTTAATTTTTCCAATCAGTTCAGTTCAATTCAGCTCAGTTCAATAAATATGAACAGACCCTTAGACTACTACTTTAAACGAAGTATTTTATACTACTGAATGGTTCGATTTTTGTTGATTAGAGAGGTCATGGCATCTCAGACTCTCATTTAAAGGAAGTAAGAGATGTCGTACGCGAGTTCTTCAATCTGCCTCTTGAAGACAAAATGAAAATCAAAATGACTGCAGCAACTGGATACAGGTTTAATGGCATGTATACTTGAGCTCTTTTCAATTTCATTGATGCATGATCTTTACTTGCTAATTAAGTTGATATATTTATATATTATATATTATACATAAATATATAATATATTATATATATATATATATATATATATATATATATATGTAAAAATGTAAACTAAAGTTAGAATTAAGCGAATATATTATACATAAATAAATAATATATATCCACTTAATCAACTATATTAATCATGATTTGGGTCTTAAAATGCAGAGGATATGAAGAACTTGATAAAATTCACACTAATGGTCTTCCTGATGTGCAGGAGGCTATTGATGTAAGTAAATATTTCATACTTACTCACTTTTTAATGGTCAAATTATGTTGTTAAATTAGTTGAAAGCAATGTGATTAATAAAATATAATTAAGATTGTATATAGGAGTTAAAAAAGTAGTTCTGCGTTATGTCTACTACTCCAACTCTAGTAGCTACATTTCATTTGTAGAATGATTGTTTTCAAATTCTTGTCAGTACAGTATTACAAAGAATTTGCAGATGGAACGTATGGAGATAAGGGAAAACCAATGGAAGGACCTAACTTGTGGTATGTGGCGAATTGTATACATTCTCAAGATTAACTTACTTTAGTTTACATGACACACTTTATATAGTAATTGATCTAATGCAACGCTAACTTCTCTAATATGCAGGCCATCTAATCCTCCTAACTTTAAAAATGTGTTGAAGCAATATATTGACGTTTCCACAGGCATGAATTCTACCCTTACTTATCCCATATAAGATAAAATTTTGTATATATGTATGCGCTCGACTTTGATTTAGACTTATTTTCTTTGTATATATAACAATGCGAACAGAAATTAGTAGAAAGATTATGAGAGGTATTGCATTGGCTTTGGGCGGGTCAGGCAACGAGTTTGAAGGTAATATTGCTGGCGATCCATTTCGGGTTGTACGGTTGATAGGTTATCCACCGGTTTTAAAAGAATCAGATGTTGAACCAGAACGCATGGGATGGTACAAACCTAATCTTAGCTTGTTGTTGGATTCTTGAATCTCATTTTAGTTTTACTAATTTAACTAACATTTACCTCTTCTATTACCATATATACATGATCTCGGACATAACCATAGTGGGGCTCACACAGATTATGGTAAGTCTTTAATTGTTTGAGGAAATGTAAATTATTGGCTTCCACTTCATCCTCTTCCTTTATTTTTAGTACCGTTAATGTAATAAGAAATAATATAGTTATGTGGAATCTTGTTAGATTCGTTTCATTGTATATTTTATTAATATCACATTTTTATAAACTTTGTCTGTATGAAAATAAAGACAGGGAAATGTCATTGGTACACCCTAGGTTTGAGCTTTTATCAATGATGCACCTCCTTTAGTTTTAATTATCAGTGGTACACCTATACTTTCAACTAATTAACTATAGTAAGATTTTCGTTAATTAATCGTTAGTAATGGTTAATGACTTGCAATTTTGACTCCATCCTTAATTTTCATCCTAAATTTAAAGTAGTGAAACGCTAAACATCGCCCGCAATTTACCATATAAAGCCCACAAATATGATTTGGTGTGACCATTATGCCCATTTTCTAAAATTGAAATAATCTCGGTTTAAAAAATGTGGAGCCGTACTGGCTCGCCGGGGGAGACCGGAGGGCAGGCCGGAGATGCGGGGGACGCCGGAGGTACGTCGTCGTCGACGGAAAACGAGGTAAGTCACCGTTAAAATTCACGGTTTACCGTCGGAGTGGCTCCGGCGCCTAGGATGGACGCCTAAACCGTAGCCTGGACGTCCAAGCCAGACGCCAGAACCACCAGAGTGGCGTCCAGCCCAGACGCCCAGACCACCAGACTGGCGTCCTGGCCAGGCGCCACTCTACTGGCTGAGGCGGCCCTGCCAGGCGCCAGTCCAGTGGCTGTGGCAGCCCTGGCAGACGCCACCCTTATAAATTAATTTTTTTTTTATTCTTTTTTGATTTTGTTGTTGTTTTTTATTTAATTTTTTTAAAAAAAAAAATCGAAAATGATTTTTTAAAAAAATTCGAAATGGGTTTTTTTTAAATTAAATTTGAAAATTCGAAATAGGTTTTTTTAAAATTAAGTTTGAAAATTCGAAATGGTATATTTTTAAATTTAGTTTGAAAATTCGAATTGGGTTTTTATAAAAATTAAGTTTGATTATATATAATTATGCTTTTTTTTGTGTTAATTCTGTGTAAATATAGAAATTAAATGTATTATCCGTTAAATGTATTTATTGTAACAAACCTGCTTGCCCTCGACCGTTTCCTGCTTGCCCCAGATACAGTGGACGCAGATGATGTGCCAGATCTACTAACAAACCTACCACCCCTACCCTTACGCACCTCCACCATATGTGTCTCGTACATGTCATCAACCCTCTGACTGAATGGACCGTAATCATCATACGGTCCACTTCCATCGTCCACATCCTCATCCTCATCTGCGCCCTCCTCCTGCTCCTCCTCCTGGTCACCCTCCTCAGCATCATCATCGTCATCGTCATCCTCATCCCGACGGTGGATCCGTTCTCTACGAGCTGAGGCCGAAATACCACGGGATCTGACATGTCTATGCCCCGACCTCTCCACTGAATAGCTTCTACTAAGAAGCTCTACATTCTTCCCCGCACCATGACGACCCAGTGAATTCTACATATAATTTTAAAATATATAAACATACAAAAATTTATACGAAAAATAGCTACCACTCCCAAATCAAATAAACTAAAAACATACAAATAATTGTAAACAAAATATAAACATAGAAAAAATACAACGAAATTGAAAAAATTTATAAAAATAAACAACAAAATATAAAAACAATTCAAAAATATATTACACAAAAAAAAAAAATTAAAAACAATATTTTAAAACAAATATATAAAAAAAAACGGGGGGGGCGCCTTGGCTGGACGCCCAGCCAGCGGTGGTGGCGCCAGCTGCAGACGCCGCCACCAGTAGGCTGGCGCCTGGGCTGGACGCCACAGCCACGGCTGCGGCGCCTTGAATAAACGCCACAACCGTGGCTATGGCGTCCAGCCCAGGCGCCAGCCAACTGGTGGCGGCGTCTGCAGCTGGCGCCACCACCGCTTGCTGGGCGTCCAGCCAGGGCGCCCCACCGCCGTCACGGCGGTTTTTCCCTTTATTTTTTTTTTATTTTTTTTTTACAAATTGTACCTTGCCTCCTTGGGACATCCTTCCCTCCGCCGCCGCCGCCAATTCCTTGCCTTTCCGCCTCGACATTGCCGTTGTTTGAAATATTTTTTTTTTAAGAGAGGTTGAAAGAAGATGAGCAATGAGAGTGTGAGTGATGAGAGTGTGAGTGTTTTTTTTTTTAAGGTCAAGGGCAATTTTGTCAAACCAAGTGAATTTTGTGGGCTTTATGTAGTAATTTTTGGGCGATGTTTAACAAATCCCTTAAAGTAACCCACCCACCTCTGTCATTATATAAACGAAGCCCTCTAATTTGCTCTCATATATGCAGCTTTCTTCTTCTTCTTCATTTTCATTTGGTACTCAAATTAGCCAAATGAAGAAGAAGCTTCATAAATCAGAGCAAATGAGGGTGTTTCATTATATAATAACAAAGGTGGGTGGATTACTTTAAATATAGGAGGGAAAAAAAAGGAAAGGGGTTAAAATTGGTCAAAATTGCATCATTAACTTATTATTAATGTTTAATTAAGAGAGTGAGGGATAGCTCAAGTGGTTAGAGCTTCCCTCCCGATTCCAGGAGATCTTGGGATCGATTCTCACCCCCGTCCTTGTGGCTCTCTAAACACCAAAAAAAATGTTTAATTAACAAAATGTTTACGGTAGATAATTAGTTGCAAATACAGGTGTACCACTGATAATTATAACTAAGCAAATGTTTCATTGATAAAAGTCTAAACCTGAGGTGTACCAATAATAATTTTCCATAAAAATATATACGTTTTAAGACTCTACTTGGAGACCGTAAAAATCAAATAAACCAAAAACATAAAGACACAAGAAGTATGTGACAACGTTGATTTCATATTGCTCTTGATCGACAGGTCTTTTAGGATTGGTCAATCAAGATGAAAATGTATCAGCTATAGAGGTATATATTTTCATTATACTTCGTGAAGTACCGAAGTTTAACTTTTTGTATAAGAATCAAACTTGTAAATCATAGCTTAATACAAATCAATATTTTGTTTGATTATTAGTTGCTATTTTTTAAATTTTTTACAAAATTAACATCAAATGTTGTTGAAGGCTATGAACAATTCTGGAGAATGGATTTCTGCTCCTCCAATTCCTGGTGCAACTCTTTGCATTCTTGGTGATATGCTAAAGGTGCTTAATCATCTAATCATTAAAATTTAAGCCTATAACAGAAATAGATCGATCTCACTTAATTTTCTTGTTTCTTCAATGTTGTTGATTAAGTTTTAATAATTATTTGCAGATTTTGTCGAATGGTTTGTACAATCCTGCTCTTCATCAGATAATCAACGCGTCCCCAAAATATCGTGTTAGTGCAGTTTACTTCTATGAGGTTAGCCTCTATTTAATCATCTTTAGATTCTTTACACAATGTTTATGCATAAAAACTATTGTTTTCATAGCCTTTCACTAATGAGCAGACTAATGAGGAATTATGTGGAGACTAATTATTGTATTCATAGTCTTTATACAATTACACTAATGAAGAATTTTGTGTTGAATGGGCAGACTAATTATGAAGAACCTATTGAGGCCTTGGACATTTGCGTACAAAAAAGTGGCGGAAAAAAGAAAATTGACACTGCTATTTATGGAGACTATCTTGTTGCTAAATTGAAAAAGGCCTATCCATTTTAACATACAGAGTACATCAAGACAAAAGTGTTTTTTTATTAGGCAAAACAAGAGTTTTATCTTTTATGTTGTACTACTTTGCTAGTTGAATAGCCAATTAGCCACGCGTACATTCTTGCTTTTATCGTACGTTTAATTGTTTTATTACTTAATAAAATAAGCCCATGGTAATACCAATATCCTCTAGGTTGTGGGTTTTACATGGTGTTATAAGTTGGAATTGTTTTGGAATTAATGGATACTACTATATTATGCTTTCTATTTAATATTAGTATAAATAAAAGGTGTCTACCTCAGTCAAGGTTAGCGAGTTGATACATAAAAATATACTTTGTGAATTATTTCGTGGGTTAGGAGTGACATTCAAAACTTTAGTGTCAAGATTGAAAAAGGGCATGGAGCATGTTATAATCTGAGCCTATTTAGATCCAATGGATATTATTATGTTTTTCTATTTATTGAAGCGTACTAGATAAATGAGAACTGTCTTCCTGTCTAATCTCATGGCTTGTTGAGTTTACCTTATTTTTGTTTATTTGATATGATCTAAACTTATACGGAGTATTTAAACTTATTAGGTCTGATCTGATATAATTGTCTAATTTAACGAAAAGTATACTTTGTGAATTTTTTAGAGAATGACATTCAAACCTTTATACATGTATCATCCTCCACTTAAGTTGTAAATTAAATTCTAAAACACCACCACTTATCTCCGGCTACTATCCCTCACAAGTCACAACACCATGAGTATTTTCTTCGCAATCTCGTTCGCTACCTTTTATTAGGCTTTTACTAGCCTCTTAACATTTCATCGGATGCATGGTGGACAAACTCTAAAACCTCCCACACAGCCCATTTTCCTCATTCCCCATCCTCGGCCACCTTCACCATCACAGAGACCCGCTTCATCTAGCCTTGTCCAAAATCTTTCATAAGGCAACGAGTCTTATGTGCGATTGACCATACCATGTGACCGCTTGTAAAGAGCAAAATAACCCTTGTAATATATTATATATTTGCATAAAATATATACTACTCGTAATATAAAAGGAATAAACACTATCATATTTGATTTTGGCAGATTCTTCTGATCGTATAAACACTATCATATGTAATTTTGTCAAATTATGAAATTGTTTGATCTGAATATGTATGATCTATTTTTAATACATACCCTCTCGACCTCTTCGTATAAATAAGTGTTTTACTTTTCCTCAAAAAAAAAAAAAAAAAAAAAAACTAAATCCGTCCAGTTTTTACCGAATAACACCTTTACGTTACTTCTATATAAACTTCCTTTAGTAACCATTTCTTAAATAACTCTTCAATCTTTCTCTCTATTATTTTCACTTTTACTTTTCTCTCTCTTCACCTTAAGAATTTAATCTATAACCACTACCAATCAAACCACCACCACCAAGCAAACCACCACAATTTTGTCACCACTAAGCAAAGCCACCACAATTCCTTATCCCTAGCGGCTGCAACCGACTATAAGGGGCGATGTCGGAAAATCGGAAAGGTAAGGGTGTTGCGACTACCGATTAGGTACTTGTTTTACCCTTTTTTCCAGTTGTTCAAGACAAACATATGAAATTTCAAAATGTTCCATGGAAGGAACACCTGAAATTTTAGAACCTCCTCCGAAACATTCTAAAATTTCAGACGTTTTTCCCCAAAACATTCTAAAATCTAGGTGTTTCGCCCCCTGAACACCAAAAATTTTAAAATGTTCCAAGAGTGATTCTAAAATTTCAGGCGTTCCTTCTATAATTACGATATTTTTTTCTTATAAAAAAAAAGATAAAAATTTAGAGCATTCATCGACTCTGTATGCTCTTACGACCTCTCCAGTGTCGTTGTTGCTTTCTTAAAACTCGTCCATTCACCGCTTAGCTTGTACTAATTAGTGAAGAGTAAAGCAATTTTTTTTAACAAAAAATGACGTGGTGGTTGTTTGGAGGGTGGTGAAGTAACAAGTTAGAGAGTAGTTAAAGAAAGTAAAAGTGAAATAAGGTACTCCATATATTTTATACGAGGGAGTATATTTCAAGGGTTGTGAGACAAAACAAAATATCTCACAACATAAAATAATATAGCAAATGTACTAGCAAGAGGGAGAAAGGAAGAGAGAGATAGAGAGAGTGAAAAAAAGGTGAGGTAGGACCCACTTTTGGAGTCAGAAATGATTTCACGTGCAAAAACGACAAAAAAAAAATTGGCACCACATCTACTTAGAGTATATTTGTACCACTAAGAATTTTTATAAGTACCACTAAAACCGCATTGAGTACCATTGGGAGTGTATTTTGTACCACTGAGATGTAATGGTATTATTTGACAACCTAATTAGACATTTGAACCTTTTTTTAAATACCACTAAAATTATATTTTGTACCACTGAGAGTGTATTTTGTACCACTGAATCTAAAATGACAAAATTTAAATCCCGCATGAAATGACCAACCTACCCCTGCGAGACACTTCTAAATCTCTCTCAACCCTCCGTTTATATAACCTCATTTTATATTGGGCATGTTTGTAAAGTCACGTTAATATACCACCGTTACTTGATAAATACACTGGACGTTATTTTACTTTTCATTCCTATTGTATTTTAATTGGTGATCCACTTTTTATTGCCAGATTTTAATTTTATTTATTTAATTATTTTACTAAACCTCATTGTCAGATTGCCGTACAATATTGTGGTGACTGTTAAATAATGAAAATTTATTTACTTTTTGTCTTTTTCTATAACATGCATTTTGTTTTTGCACATTATACGAGTATTATGTAATATTTATACTAGATGAAGCCCGTGCGATGCACAATTTGTTTGATTTTTTTAAATAATTTTTTTTTGTGTATTTATGAGCCTAAAATTTGTTATATATTTAGATAAAATTCCTAATATTAAAAGATAATATATAATATTTAATTAATTTAAACTTAAAAATCTCATTCGCCAATTTTGCTTACATGACATTTAAATTATTTAATTCTAAAATAAATTAATAATCTCTTATTTAATTGGCTACTACTAAGATTTATAATCCTACATGGCGCGCTGAGAAAATTAAATCCTACGTGGCTCTCTAAAAACTCGGGAAAAAAACTCCCCTTTATATATATATATTAGATTGTACGTATTAAATTGTCTCTCTAGATATTGACAAAACAATTGTCGTTGTATATATACTCGTATTTGATTCAATTAGATTATTGACTATTTGGACAGACAAATTGCCTTACATATTACGGAGTGCCACTAGACGAGTAGGCGCATAACTGCTATAGTATTTATTTGGGATGCATATAGGAGGATTAACTGATAATTTATATAATTTATAGTAATTTTTTTATCATTGTAATAGTATTTATAATGTACTACGAAATATTAGATAAGTATTTTATACTACTAGAGTATTACGGAGTAGATTGTTGTAGTACTACTATTTATAGTCATTATATGTAATAGTGGTATACTAATATTTAATGACAATTTATATACTTATTTATACCACTAGAAAAACATTTTTCATCACTCTTTTGTCTTTTTTCATGCTATTATTTGCCATATAAATAGCATATTTGTGTTAATACTTAACCCATATTAATATATTATGTTGTACGGCTATATATTTATATGCTTATCTTTGATCGTTATATATATATATATCTATATATATATATATATAAAATAATCATGTGAACTCTTATTATTAATAATGTGAGATTCAATATTAAGGGTCTATTCACTTCAGCTTAATTTCAGTTCAGTTCAGCTCCAATCAATTTAGTTTAGTTCAACTCAGCTCAATTCAGTAATGTAAACATGCCCGAAGAGTATGTAGTGCTTGAAGTGGATTACTTAGCTCTACAATATTGACCCACTCTAAGCTTACCAAAAAAAAAGTTAAAATTTCAACTCTTGTATGCACACAGTAATTTATCATGCATGACTCTAATTTAGAATATACCCGACTTGATCTCACCAAACCTGACCCAATCACCCATAAAATAGTTCCAAGAAGTTCCATGTTAGTGACTTGATTTGTAGTAGTAATTAGACAACTTTTTTCTTTTTACGTATGTATTCAAATCAAATCTCAAGTTTTGTTTTATTTTTCTTTTAACATTAACATGAATCGACTATGATCTACTCTGTATTAAACTATAATTGAGGCAATAAACTCCGATCCGGTACGAGTAGTACGTAGTGCCGAAACTAAAGGGTGAAAGATGAGAGAAAATGTAAGAAAAATGTTGAAGAAAGTGGTGGATGTGAAGGAAGCCAAGGAACAAATATCATTTGCACTGCCAATGATTCTCACAAATGTGTTTTACAATCTGGTTCCAATTGTTTCGGTTATGTTTGTTGGTCATCTCGGTCAACTACAACTGGCTAGCTCTACTCTTGCCAATTCTTGGGCTACTGTCACCGGATTTTCTTTCATGGTTAGATTTCCCTTCTCTCTTTTGATTCTTGGAATATTAATTAACGTTTTTTTTTTGACATTGTTAGAAACTATAGTAAAATATATATACTTAAGTCAAAGTGTTCCAATTATTTTGAAACGAAAGTAGAAGCTTTTATGACATTTGTGGTATAATCTTAAGGCCTTTTCAGCAATAATTTATCATTAATCTTCCGGTCTCATGGTGAGAGGTCCTATGGAAGACTAATTGTAATCTTCCCTTACTCAAACCTTTCGTGATCGTATATATATGTTTTTTTTTAATGATTTAGTATAATAGATTTGTTTATTTGGTTAAAAGTTAATTTTAATTGATTTGAACCACATTTAAAAATGTTAGCTTTGCCATTATATTGTAGATTGGCTTAAGTGGTGCACTAGAGACATTATGTGGGCAAGGGTTTGGTGCAAACTTGTACAAAATGCTAGGGATTTATCTTCAAGCATCATGTATGATCTCGTTCATTTTCTCCATAATCATATCTACAATATGGTGGTTCACTGAGCCTATATTGAATGTACTACTCCATCAAAATCCTAACATTTCTAAAGAAGCAGCACATTACATGAGATTTCTAATACCAGGAATATTCGCATTTGGTTTTTTACAAAACATCTTAAGGTTCCTCCAAGCACAATCTGTGGTTTTGCCCTTGGTTTCATTCTCACTCGTTCCGTTACTGTTACATTGTGTCCTTAACTATATTTTGGTTCATTTCACAACCCTTGGATATACGGGAGCAGCATTGGCAACCTTCTTGACGTTTTGGTTATCGCTTATAACTTTGGTCATATACGTGAGCTTTGCTAAAAAATTCGAGCATACTTGGAGAGGGTTGTCCAAGGAATCGTTTCACCATGTCTTCGTCTACTTGAAATTGGCATTACCTTCGGCTGCTATGGTTTGGTGAGTACATTATTGCTCTAATAATCCTGTGTTGCAACTTACGTACAATTAGATTTATAGATGTTTTTATTTTGGACACCAATTTTAATCCTCAGTTTGGAGTATTGGGCATTTGAAATCTTGGTGTTGTTGGCTGGCCTCATGCCAAATTCTGAAACAACCACATCACTCGTCGCAATCTGGTACAAATTGATTCTATTCTCTCTGTCTTTTCTTTCTAATATAAGAGTCATTGCTATATACTCCCTCTGTTAAAGACGTTTTTTTGGAGACTGTGATAAGTCAAATGGGGCAAAAAATAAGGGGCAGAGGGAGTATGAATGAATCATTATAGTATGATAGTTGTGCTCATCTCATCTAAACAGTGTGAATACGGAAACAATAGCTTACATGGTTACTTACGGGCTGAGTGCTGCAGCAAGGTATAAATGCAAAAAATATAAATTTTTCTCAATTTTTTTTTTAAAGTTACAATTCTTAACAATTACCATGATAGTACGAGAGTTTCTAACGAGCTTGGAGGCGGGAAAGCAAATCAAGCGAAACATGCAATGGGTGTGACACTGAAGTTGTCGATTCTCCTAGCCGCTTTTGTGGTTCTTGTTCTAGGCTTGGGACATGATATTTGGGCAGGCTTCTTTAGTGGCGATGCCAGTATAATCAAAGCATTTGCCTCCTTGACTCCTCTGCTTTGTATTTCGATTTTTTTGGACTCGATTCAAGGCATACTATCAGGTCGATCTTTAGATTCATTACACATTTTCTTCCTCATCCTTCATTTATTTCATCCATATTTTATGCTGTTTTTTGTGCACAAACAGGGGTATGCAGGGGATGTGGTTGGCAGCATTTAGTCATGTACATAAACTTGGGGACATTCTACCTCATTGGTATGCCCGTTGCATACTTAGTTGCCTTCAAGTTTCAGATCTATGTCAAGGTAATTACCATTTATTTTTACAATTTTCCTTTGCAACTGCTTTTGTTTATTAATTCACTCCATTTTATTTTTCTTTAATGAAACGATTCTCTTTTACACCCATGTCAATACAAAACTTTGACAATAATTATTTTAAGGAAAATGCTATATATTGTCCTTAGGGCTACATATAACTATATAAGCATTAAATTTACACTTGAAAATCGTAAAAAGTTAAGAAATCATCAAAATATAAACACTAATTACACTGATTTACGCGTGTTTATCATGAATTCCTAATTTTATATAATTCAAGAGTATATTTAATGCTTATATATAGCTCTTAGGCTACATCTAGCATTACCCTAATTTTAATTATCAAAAAGTTAAATTTATTATAATTGAATATTAATGAACTATTCATTAAGACGATTTCAACAAATACCTACAAAATACTAAATTATTGTATGTTAAATCACAAACATTAGTCAAGTTGGATTTAAGGAGTCAAAACATTTCAATTAAAAATACGAAGGTAGAGCGAAGATTAATGATTCACCCCCATATCTTCTTTGTCACAAATCTGTGGTTTAGGGCCTTTGGATTGGTTTAATATGCGGCCTCGTCTTGCAATCTAGTTCGCTTTTCCTGGTTACCCGACTCCGGAAATGGACACCATTTGAGCTCTCAACTAGCGGCAATGAGAATTCAGTTCCATAAATGCCTGTGGAATACGCAATTATGTACTTGGTATGATTATAGCATGAACTTAATGTAAACTACAATTATGAATTGTCCTCATCAAAAATATAGGTCTAAACTCCGTGTATTTGCTGAAATGAATTAATGACATGCACCAAATTAAGGAATCACCGTTACCAATCTTTTTGTATGAACACAGTTATGTTAGTAAAATTTTACCACTCTTCCCGTCAAAAAAAAAAAAAAAAAATTTACCACTCTTGGAATGGGATTTTTTTTTTTTTTGGTGGTGGTACAAAAGTGGGGAAACCCCTTACAAACAAACAAGAACAACTGAACATGACAAAGCCACTCCAACTATACGATTATGTCCTCATAGAGGTCCAACGGAACGTGGATTAAATTTATTATGGTACATAATAGGTACCTTTATATTTTGCATAGATGATGGTACACCATACTTTGCGTCTTTGTATAGTATTGTTTTATGTAGTAACACATGCCAAACTTTGTGCATTTGACGACAATTCATTTATTATGTATTTAATTGTATTTAAAATTAAGTGGTTGGCTTTAATTTCCTTATAATGTCGATTTTTCTAGCTCTCCCCATAATAAAAGCACATGTTTTCCACGAGTGTGTTGTGGATAAGGCTTATGATGCTGAGACTATAAACAACTTAGAGTTGTATTGTTCGTGTACGATAAAAAGAGTCGTGCGATCTCTCACTCTCAAGGTCTCACACTTTGATTGGAAAATTTTGCATTTAAAGTCAATCATGAACTTCCAGCTTAATCTATTCCCTATTATAGATAATACGGAGTATTATATTCATTGCTTTATTTTAAGTACAAACCTTTTTTCTTTTAATCCGTCATTGATATTTTGATGGTCAATTAATTGTTTTTGTAATTTATTGAGAGGGATTTTTAAGATTAATAGCAATTCTAATAGTTTTCAAGAAAATAGCAATTCTAATAACTTTTTTAATATTTATAATCATAAGAAATAATAGTATAGCCAATTCCAAATTATTTTGAGACTAACCCAAATTTTTAATGTTGTTGTATCATAAAAGGTTTTAAGTGTTTACTCCTATTACTTGAGAGAGTAAAGTCACCTTAACAACGATTAAAAAATTACCGTTACCGCAATGACTTTTCATAAAAGGTTTTATTGAATACTTCGTAATTTCCAAGGAAAAAGGAAAATATCAATCGATAGCTTATTAATAAAAGTTAATTTTGTCAAAAAAGGAATATATATGGATTCTCACTGTTACTAAAAGTTGCATTTTTTTATATTAAAAACCTCGACGTTTATAACCTTAAATTATACTCCGTAATACGTATGATATTGCTAAAATTGTACTCCATAAAAATACGTTACTACCATATATATTTAGATCGGGTTCACCAATAGCTGCAATGTGATCTGTGTTATTTGAATTCCTAGTTAAAATGGTAGTATAATTTATAAGATGTGTTTGTATTCTCTTAATTCAAAGTGGAAGTTTTAGTTTAAATTTGCTTATTATATTGGCTGATAATTATACTCCGTATAATGCAGATATTAGTTCTTTGGTTGCAAAGGCTGATGATGCAAATATGGCTCAAGATGCTGGTGTACGCGAAGCTGTTAGACAGTTGGACAAAGCTTGTAGAGAACATGGCCTTTTCTACTTGGTTGGTACTCCATTAGTAGTCTTTTAATAGCGTCATTTTATTTTGTTGCTGGCTTATTAAACCATCGGTCTTATCTAATTAGGCCCTTAACTCTTCACCTAATTTTTTTTTTTTTGTTGAACTTAAATTATTTTATATGAAGTATTGAATGGTTCTATATTTGGTGAATAGAGAGGTCATGGCATCCCGGACTCTCATTTAAAGGAAGTAAGAGATGTCACACGCCAATTCTTTGAAATGCCTCTTGAAGAAAAAAACAAAATCAAGATGAGTGCAGCTACTGGATACAGGTTTAGTGACATACATACTTAAGCTTTTTTCATTCACTTATGGTCTTTACTTGCTAGTTTCATCATATCAAAGGCATATACCCACTTAGCTATTAATCGTGACTCGGGTATTTGAATGCAGAGGATATGAAGAGCTTGATAAAATTTATACCAATGGTCTTCCTGATGTACAAGAAGCTATTGATGTAAGTAACTTTTGATCGTCGAGTTATGTTGTTTGGTCAAGAGCAATGTGCTTAACCAAAGATTATCAAACTTATGGATAGGAGTTAGCTTTGTGTTTTATTTACTAATAGCTACTTTATATGTAGAATAATTATCTTAAGTTCTTAATTGTTATTACAGTATTACAAAGAATTTGCAGATGGAACGTATGGAGATATGGGGAAACCAATGGAAGGACCTAACTTATGGTATGTGGCAAAATATATACATATACCTTGGATTTGTTTTTGTTACATATAGTTGCTTAAACAACTTCATCATGACTAATGATAATTTAAAACTGAATTAGATATGTACTTAATTTACATCACTCTATATAATCATCTAATATAACATCTCCTTTTAATGCAGGCCATCTAATCCTCCTGACTTTAAAAAGGTGTTGAAGCAGTATATTGATGTTTCCACATGCATGTTTCTACCCCTATATAGGATAAAAATTTGTGTATATTTGCTTGACTTTGACTTAAAGTTTTAAACTCATTTGCTTTGTATATATAACAACAGAACTTTGTAGAAAGATTATGAGAGGTATTGCATTGGCTTTGGGTGGATTAGGCAACGAGTTTGAAGGTAAGATTGCTGGTGATCCATTTTGGATTGTACGGTTGATAGGTTATCCTTCGATCTCTAAGGGGTCAGGTGGAGAAGTACAATGCATGGGATGGTACATAACTTGATCTTAGCTTCTTGTTGGGTTTTGAATTTCATTTTAATTTTGTTAAATTAACTAACATTTACCTTCTACTATAATGATCCTGTACATGACCTTAGTGGAGCTCACACAGATTATGGTACGTCTTTGTTTGAGAATATGTAAATTATTGGCTTATATGTGACAGCAATCAAACCATTGATTCATATTTCATAATGCTCTTGATGGACAGGTCTTTTAGGATTGGTCAATCAAGATGAAAGTATATCAGCTATAGAGGTATTTTAATTATAATCCGTGAAAAATTATCGTATAAGAGATCAAACTAGTAAAATCGTTGCTTAATATAACTCGGTATTTTTTTTATTATTATTACGGAGTAGTTGTTATTTAAAATTATTTTTTTTTTACAAAAAAAAATAAAAATAACATCAAATGTTATTGAAGGTTATGAACAATTCTGGAGAGTGGATCTCTGCCCCTCCAATTCCAGGAGCAACTATCTGCATTATTGGTGATATGCTAAAGGTCCTTAATCATCTTTTAATTAATATATAAGCCTGAAATTGAAATATAACTCACTTATAAAAAAAAAACTACTTCTATCAATATTGTCAATTGCAGATTTTGTCGAATGGTTTGTACAATCCTGCTTTTCATCGGATAATCAACGCGTCCCCAAAATATCGTGTTAGTGCAGTTTACTTCTATGAGGTTAGCCTCTATTTAATCATCTTTAGATTCTTTACACAATGTTAATGCATAAAAACTATTGTTTTCATAGACTTTCACTAATGAGCAGACTAATGAGGAATTTTGTGGAGACTAATTATTGTATTCATAGTCTTCATACAATTACACTAATGAAGAATTTTGTGTTGAATGGGCAGACTAATTATGAAGAACCTATTGAGGCCTTGGACATTTGCGTGCAAAAAAGTGGTGGAAAAAAGAAACTTGGCACTGCTATTTATGGAGACTATCTTGTTGCTAAATTGAAAAAAGCCTATCCATTTCAACAAATGAAGTACAATATTTTTTATTTTTATTTTTGTTGTTTAGAGAGCCACAAGAGCGGGTGATGAAAATCGGTCCCAAGATCTATTGAAATCGGGAGGGGAGCTTTAACCATTTGAGCTATCCCTCACTCTCAACATACGGAGTATATCAAGACGAGTTTTTTTGCTTTTTTGTTTTTTTTTTTTTTATTTATTTATTTGTGGAAAAACAAGGATTTTATGTTGTACTACTTTGCTAGTTGAATAGCCAATTAGCCACGCGTACATTCTTGCTTTTTATCGTACGCTTAATTGTTTTATTAGTTACAGTCTTACGGAGTAATAAAATAAGCCCATGGTAATACCAATATCCTCCAGGTTGTGGGTTTTACATAGTGTTATAAGTTGGGATAGTTTTGGGGTTAGAAAGTTGATACATAAAAATATACTTCGGAATTATTTTGTGCGTTAGGAGTCGCATTCAAAACTTTAGTGCCATGAGTGAACAAGGGTTATTGCTTAATTACTTAGATTAGGAGTAACGGGCGTCAAAAACCTGATAAAATAATCAAGAGTGGCGAATTGATACGTTTTCTATCTGAATTAATATCAAAGACATGCGAATATAGGGCGTCAAGGGAAGGGGAAGCGAGTCAAGAAAAAAAAAAAGGGGAAATGATAGATGCATGTCAAGGTTTGTCAAGTGAGAGAAGAGGATATGAAAAAGATAGGTGCACACTTTGTATATATTTATTATTTTAATTTTTAAGGAAAGAAAAAGAATTAAAATCAGGCCAAGAAAAAGAATTAAAATCAGACCTTACTGCTAACTCTCACAGTTTTTCTTGATCTAGTATTTGCGGTCTTACGAGTCAAAACCTTTGAAAGTGAGAGGGAAGGGTAAATAAAGATCCCCACTCTCAAAGAGGTCTGTATCCTACATAAATTTGGCCCCTATTTCCTTCACAAAATTCTTCAAGGTCCGCAATTGTTCAGTTATAGGATTTATCAAGTGAGTTTCAGCATCCATTACCACAAACCAAGGAGATAAGCCATGGATCAACTTTCAAGTAGATGAGCGAGCAGTCGTACATACCAGCGCAAGGATGCAGTCGAGATCTAGCCAAAGGATGACATAATATTGACATTGTCTTGTGTGAGCCACCAACTCCCTCTTCAAAAAAAAATCTGTGAAAACAGTCAAGTAAACAAACACGTCAAAATCAGAAATTTTGACGTTGTGGACAAAAATGTCTTGGATACGAAGGATTCCTAAAAGGAAAAAAGATAAAGTCCGTTAGGAGGCTGAAAAGTTGCCAAAAGCAGAAGAAGAAGAAGAAGAAGAAAAGAAACAGTCATTCTTAATTCAAGCAATTACCAGTTCAACTCACTGTAATAGTCGTATATACACTGAAACCAACTCCCATTAATTCAAACTTCCACACATAATAATTTATTCACAAAAAATCAATCAAATCTAGGAATTACTTTGTAATCTGTAAATTATCGATTAAACAAGATTAAAAACTCTCCTAATTGCTGACTTACACCCACGGCCATTTAAGAGTGAAGACTTTGTACATACATCATCCTCCACTTAACTTGTATATTCTAAAACACCACCACTTATCTCCAGTTCCTTCCACAATCCCTCACAAGTCACAACACCATGAGTATTTTTTTTGTAATCTCATCTGTTACCATTTTACTAGCCTCTTGGCTATTTGTCGGATGCATGGTCAGCAAATTCCGAAACCTCCCTCCCAGCCCATTTTCTTTCCCCATTCTCGGCCACCTTCACCACCTCAAAGACCCACTTCATCTAACCTTGTCCAAAATCTCCCATAAGGTGGGGCCAATCACTCTCCTCCACTTCGGACAACGGAGAGTCCTCCTTGTCAGTTCACCATCAGGGGCAGAGGAATGTCTCCGTCAAAATGATGTTATATTTGCCAATCGCCCCCGTCTTCTGACTGGTGATATATTCGGCTACAATTGCAAAACTTTGATATGGGCACCTTACGGAAATTTGTGGCGGAATCTCCGGCGAATTTCCTCTGTCCAGATTTTCTCTCTCCAATCAATGCAGCTCTCCTCAGGAATACGTTCTGAGGAGGTGAAGTCCCTTATGCGTCGGATCAGTACAGAATCTGAGAGAGATAATCAAGTGGTGGATATTGGGGAGGCTCTGTTTGAGATGACCCAGAAAATGATGATGAGAATTTTAGCAAAGGAAGGGTATAGAGGTGAAGGGAAAAGGTTTAGGGAGGTAGTGGAGGAGATAATGAGGATTGAAGGAAGTCTTACCGTCGTTGACATGTTTCCATTTTTGAAGCTTTTTGGGATGAAGAGGAGATATCAGGAGAAATTCAGGGGTTTGGCTGAAGCGAAAGAAAAGTTTTTGAATGATTTGATGAAGAAAAACAAACAATCTGTTCTCAGTTCAAGTTCTGCAGGTTTAGGTTTTTCGCCCAACAGAATGAAGAAGACACTAATTCAAGTTCTGCTATTGTTACAGAAAACAGAGCCTGAGTTTTACACAGATGAAATGATCAAAGGCCTGTTTCAAGTGAGTTCCCTTCCCGTACTATTTATTTTCTCATGACGAGCAGATTTTAAAATAAGATACAGTAAATAAGATAACAGGACTACTATACTGTCCAATATAAAACTTAAATTAACGGAAATAACACAATGGCATGCACAAAAAACATTGGAAATTGCACAGCAATCCTTCTTTACTAAATCATGTTAGATTGCATTCAATCCTTTCTTTTTCAATAAACATCACCTATACTTCCAGCTGATGCATAATGAACCAGGTCCAAATACTATATTTAACACTTAAAAATTAATTTAAAGGCATGAATAAGCAATTCCACCCCCCCCCCCCCTTCTCTCCCAGGTGGGCCCCGTGAAGATCAACCATGGTACCCCATCTGGTAGCTAACGGAGTGGAACACTGCTCCAACTCCGTTTCCTTGACCATATGCCTTAGTATATATTACTTAAATCTATGAAACAAAGAGAATATAGAATAAGGCAACACGTAAACTATACCCTACTAAGTATAGATAAATTCATTGGATAATAGCTGAAATTGCTGATGAAATACTAGCAATATAGCAATCTCTCACTACAAACTTTTTTCAAGTATATATGTCCATTTGGCATATCCAATCCATTTTCTTGCACTCTTTATATGGTACTAATACCACTTTCCAACAATATAAAAGACTAATTGTCAACATTTTTCATGGTGAGTTAGGTATTATTATTGGCGGGCACAGACACTTCAGCAGGGACTATTGAGTGGGCATTATCATTAATGCTCAACAATCCGCCGGTTCTCAAGAAAGCACAACATGAGATTGCTACACAAATAGGATATGATCAACTTATTGAAGAATCGGACTTGAGTCATCTTCCCTATCTACGTTGCATTATATGAGACTCTAAGGCTATACCCTGCAGCTCCACTTCTGGTCCCTCACGAGTCATCAGAGAAGTGCGTTGTTGGGGGATATACTATTCCACATGGCACTATGCTATTGTTAAACATTTGGGCCATACATAACAATCCAAAGTACTGGTCTCAGCCTGAGGAGTTCAGGCCCGAGAGGTTTGAAGGGGTGGAAAAGGATGAAGAAAAAATGAAGTATAAATTTATGCCTTTTGGGTTAGGAAGGAGAGCTTGCCCGGGAGAGGGCATGGCCATGCGAATGGTTGGGCTTACATTGGGATTGCTACTGCAGTGTTTTGAGTGGGAAAGACCAAGTCCTGAATTGGTTGACATGAATGTCAAGAATGGGCTTAGTATGCCCAAAGCCAAACCACTTCAGGCCAAGTGCCAACCTAATAAAACTATGGCCCAGCTCATTGCACAAAATTAATAAAGAGAAGAGAGACGATGGTAATACAAGTATATGAATATGTTTCTATGACTAGAATCACGGGGAAGAAAAAAAAAACACAATATCTTACATAATCAAACATTTGTAAATAGGATTGTTGGAATCAATGTTTTGATTAGATACATCAAGCAATGTGAGAAAATCTAATGACATTATTCCCCATAGTGAACTATTGTAAGCTAATGTTACACAAAAAACATTTGAGCCTCCATTTTCTTCCTAGGCCACATTGTATAATAGAGATGAATTGGATTCTTACAAAAATAAATACGCACCTTGAACTTTTGCAATGGATTTGGATCATGTATTAGTACTGTCCTTCAAATACAGTGGAATCTTAACATCTAGCTCCCGAAGCCGATCCACCAAGCCATATAGGAACTCAAATGTAAGCCTAGATTGTGCATTAAGATCTTCTCTAACCTGCGGCTGCATCCGAAACCACTCCCCCAGCATCTTGTGCACGTGTGCTCGGACAATTCTCCAAGGCACAGGATACTTTTCGCAAAGTTTCAGATACTCAACTAGCAGTTCTGCCTGGTCTATCCTTCCATCTTTACAGCTTTCTTCACCTTCATCTACCCATTCAGGGGTTCGAAAGCCAGCAAAGAGGGCTGGATTTTCAAGGAGAGCATCAGCTGAGAGTATCCCTTCTGCACCTGTTGCCTCCAAACAGCTGTGGACATCATCCATGTGTCTAATGTTCCCATTGGCAATAACTGGGATTCTGATTGCATTTCTGACTTCTCTAATTGCGCTCCAGTCAGCCCGGATTTTCTTTTGGTCCTTCTGATCTCTAGTTCGACCATGAACAGCTAGAAGAGAGCAGCCAGCTTCCTCCAACATCTTTGCATAGTTGATTGTATCCTGCAAATCTGGGAAGATTCTGATTTTGCAAGAAACAGGAACTTCAAGGTTTTGAGCCAGTTTTTCCACTAAAGATTTTACAAGAGGTAGCTTCTCCATCAAAAATGCTCCATAATTACCTCTTCGAGCAATACGCTGAGGACAGCTGCATACAAAGCACACATTGAGGTTTCACTGAGAAAATTACGCTAATACATGTTAAGTCCAATAACTAAACTCTTTTAGAGCAGCAAAATCTCAATTTTTCCAAATTGTGGAGGCATTTATTGCCCATAAAATGAAATATTGAAGTAAAAAGAAAAAACTACAACTATACCTCAAAAAATGAAAACCAAAAAAAGCTACAAGTATACTTAAAAAGGAGTGAGATAATCCCTTTCATTGAAATATGGTTACATATAAGCGTACAGAACACAAAATAATCATTCCTGCAGCAGTATAAACCCAGCAGTGGTCAATCAACAATTCTTACCCCAAATTGATATCAACATAGTCACAAAAAGGTTCCACCATTCGGGCAGCTTCAAGCAAAACATCTGGATCATTTGCACAGAACTGGACAAACAATGGGCGGTCCTCCTACATGTATACCCAAACGCAAATTAGTGAATGAATTTAAGTAAAATTTGAAAACTGTGAGGTCAGTGACTAATGTAATCCCTCTGATATTTCAACAAATAAACTTTGTAAGAAGACTAAGAACTACAAGTCTATGATTGTGAATGGCTGCAAGTATATGGATTTGGTAGTCAATTTCATGAAGGGTAACTTCACTAGTTCACTGACTAGAATGATAGGCAGTCTTTTTAGAAGGTATTAATGATGAAGTAATTCGTAGTACTTGTTAGAATTTATATGCTTCTAAAATTTCATGAAGGGTAACTTCACTAGTTCACTGACTAGAATGATAGGCGGTCTTTTTAGAAGGTATTAATGATGAAGTAATACGTAGTACTTGTCAGAATTTATATGCTTCTAAAATTTCAAAGATGATCACAATAGTTTTGATGCTTTTACCAATGACAAGAACAGCAAATAGAAGTATAGAAAGTTGTCAACAACTTAAAAAATTTGACAAGCACTGATGCACCATTGAGAAAATGAGACAATCATACCAATCTGACAACAAATAGAAGAGGAACAGACCAACGCGTGCAAAGTTCATGCATATTACGCTAATACAGCAATAAACTCGGTGAAACAAGTTCCAACTGCCAAATGCGAATCACAAGGCTGACGAATAAGTTCCTCTACATAACAGTGTAGTTGATAGAACCCAAAACATGTTGATCTTCCTAGATAAGCAACATATAAACCAAAGTCCGGCAACTAATCCGAAAGAAACAATGCGGATCAACCAAGTACTGAAGACCTTTCCTTTACAGAAATTGAGACAACTAAGTTCTCAAAATCCTTTATACTTCATAAATTGGCAAGTTACTCTAATTAAGAAACCTGCATAATTTTCTTTCGAAACAATGTTCTGCATAATTTATTCACAAGAATTTCTTGCTTAACACTGCAACAAAAAGTTCTACATATTATCCTACAATAATCAACCATTTAGCAAATGCCAATTCTAACAAAGCAGTAAAGCACCAATGATACAAATCAATCAAATTCCTAAATTTCACCAAGTACTCATTGCATCAAATTGAACTAGTTTTTTTCTGCAAATCGCGTGATAAATTGCACAAACTTTAAATCATAACCAACTATCAATTTCAACAATTCACTAAAACCCTAATTTTATAGAGAGACAGAAAAACCCCAACCTGGCAAGTAGTGAACTCCGAAGCGCGATACTTCTCAGTCTCAGAGAAGATTCTAGAATGCAACATTGGAGTATAAGCAGCCTGAGCTCCATACTTCCGGCAAAGCATCCTAAACGGAAGCTCAGAGCAATCAACCATGGGAGCAACTATCAATTTAGGCCGGCCCAACTTCTTCCAATGGGCCCAAGCCCGCTCTATCCGAGCTTCTCCGGTTAAGTACCCATTGGGCTGGCCCAAAGAGAATCCCTTCTCCTCTACCTTATCTTCTCTCACCTCCGACAGTGTTGGGCCGGAAGAGCAGAGGAGCTCATCGTGGTTCTCTTCTTGGGACGTTGACGGCGGTGGTGGTTGAGTGGTTAGAGAAGCCATGAATGAGAGCTTTGGAAGTTGAACAAGGTGATGGTAATGGCGGAGGAGAGAGAATCTCATTACCAGATCATTGCCGGCAGTTTCTGGTTGCGGGGGAAAGCAGCGGTTTATTCAGGATTTTTTTGTTTTTTTTTTTTTTGAGGGATTTTCTTTGATGATTTTTCAACTTCCAATAGGTTGTTTTGAGCCCAATCATGTGTACAAGCCATTAAAGAAAGCCCAACATTCATTACTCACCTCTAAGCCCAATATTAAGGTCCACTTACAAGTCTTACAACTTTTTTTTTTTTTTTTTTTTTTTGAGAAGTACAAGTCTTACAACTTACAAGTGCAGTGAGTATTTGTTTTCTTTTAGCCGTAATATTTTGACCCCAAGATATTCATGATTGAGATAAAAATTTTAACACGATATTAAGTGTCAGCATAATAATGAGATCAAGGGTTCAAATCTCATCCACCTGAGACCAAGGGTTCAAATCTCATTCGCTCTTCTTTTTAAATGGATTTATTTTGCGCCGTGTAGGGAGCCCAAGCTTTATCCATATTTCAAGCTCATGTAAGGGGACGTGATAGAGTATACTTCCTCCGGTTCTTTATAGTTGCAATACTTCCGTAATATGAAAATGTCACAATAGTTGCAACACACCATAAAAGAAAGGTTTTATGGTGAAAATAGTATTATTACCTTTATTTAAAACTCATGGCCCACCTGATTATCCTCCTAGCAAGTAGCAATCTCTTAACCTCATTTTAAGTGTATTAGATCATGTGATGTTTACTTTTTTAAAATAACTTGATAAAATATGTGTTACAACTATAAAGAATTGGAGGAAGAACAACCAATCTAATTAGACCGTAATAATTATTTTAAATCAATAATATAATTCAAGTAGTCATACTTTTCCCTACTAGTTGATGTGTTATATACACTTGGAACTTTCTTTTTGTTAGTTGTACGTATAGCAAATGCAAAGCATAGAAAGAAGATCAACACCCTGAGTCAATTCCAGAGTCCATGAAGAATCTTTAAAACCCCTCAAATTATTAGAGGAAATCATATTTTAAAAAAAGTAGTATGAATGAAGGTAATGGAACTTTATAGATAATCATTTGAGAGCAAAATGTACATTATCTAAAGCCAAAGCAAAAGACATAAATCACATCCTTGAAAGCATCAACTCTCTCCCTTTTTGACTTAAATCAACATTATCTAAAGCCCTACGCATAATTTGATGCACTTCATTTCTTCATACTCCAAATAATAATGGTTTTACCGTTAAATAAGATTCCTGCTGGAGTAGGAATGTAGCTGTATAGGCGAGCAATAAGCTAGGTAATTACGAGTACTAATAGCATCATTTTAAACGTAGGGCTACAATATCTCAATCGCGTCTTAATATATACTTCGTTGTGCAAATTTGACTTGTTGTTTCTATTAAATTATATACAAATTCATCTGCGTATTCACATTCTATATACAATATGTCAAATTTATGTTTATAATTACTTGAATAAAAAAAAAACTTGAAAACCAGAACATTTTGATAGAGTTGTGGGTGAAATGTTTATGAAACAACATTGTAAAAGAGGACATGAAAAAGTAACTCTAATACAAGTGCTATGGAATGAACTATGTTACATATTTGTTAAATTTTGATTTAGATTGTAAACATCGTATAATTTTCAAATTTTACTTTAATTTTAACTTCAAAAAAAATTATTAAGAGATTATAATAGATGGAGAAGACAATTTTTAAGTGATATCAAAGTAAAGTGTGACTCAACATACAAGCAAAAAGAGTTAAATTGAATAAATTATTTCTTTCAAACTAGGTTTTTTTTTTTTGGTGGTGAAATCAAACTATGGTTCTATAATTTTGGGGATTTCGTTGATACAATTGGTATGACCATGGTTAAAACAAGTGAATTGCTTAACACCGCCTACAAAAATGATCATCACCGCCAGCATTCGGTGTGAATGGACAATCGTACCCTTATTACTTCACCACTCCTTATCCTCTCGGCGACCCACAACTCCTTCTGATCGGCGATGACAACCCACCATACCCTCCTCTATGACAACCCACCACCTTCCCTCACCGGCGGGAAGATGGTGGTTTAATATATATATTTTTTTATTTCAGGAAACCGCGGTAACCGAAGCCCAAAACCGGTTACCGTGCACGATAATCGGAGCCTAAAACCGGTTATCGTGCACGGTAACCGATTTTGGGCTTCGATTACTGCGCACGGATACCGGTTTTGGGCTCCGGTTACCGTGCACTTTAACCGATTCCATGGTAACCGGAGCCCAAAACCGGTTATCGTGCCCGGTAACCGATTTTGAGCTCCGGTTGGTACGATTGTAAAAAAAAAAAACCACCACCTTTCCGCCAAAGAGGGAAGGTGGTGGGTCATCTTTGAGGGGGATGTGGTAGGTCGCCGGTCAGGGTGGTTGTGGTGGTGGTCGTCGTCGCCGGTCAGTGTGGTGGTGGTGTTAGTCATCAATTGGGGTGGTGGTGTCAAGGTGTTTGGCAAGAGGGAAGATAGTGGTGAAGTACTAAGGGTATGGTAGTCAATTCACACTAAATGCTGGCGGTTTTGATCATTTTGAATGGCGGTATATAACACCCCCTAAAACAAATCTTACCCATTAATCAAAATCACACGTGGAAAACAAATAAAGAATTGGTCAAACCACGTATTATATAAGTACGTAGTCAATATTATTGGTCTATTTTCAAGCTCACAAGTCACATTCTCACATCTTCCCTTCTTATAAAATATAATATAATATAATTAAATTAAATAGACTACAAGCTAAGTAAAAGTACTAGTCAATATATAAACAAATACAATATGCCAAAAAGAAAAAAAGAAATAAAAATAATTATCACAAGATGCCAAGGAACCCTATTTTTTTGTTCACCTCTATCTTAAATTAGAATCTACCAAACCCACCATATTTGTGTCTATATATTATACTTGAGGAGTTGAAGTTTCTCATGCATGCAAATGTGTACAAAAAAGAAGTAATCAATCAATTAAGTAAAGTATTACATACTTACTATTAACCTAATCCACTATAATCTCCTTCGAGATGATAGCAAGATGACTAGATAATACTTCAGCTATGCTATAGATCTGAGAGTTTACTACCATGCATCGTTTTTTTATCTTGTTCAATTGATTGATAACTACTCCATAATTACTAAGCTATGATCAAATGAATAATCTTCAAGAAGACTCGAGGATGAGGCTGGAGGTTTCGACGACGGAAAGAGAGTGGTTGTGCTCCCCTTCATAGGTTACCACCAACATATTTGGATCATCCAAAGCCCTCTCTACATGTTTCCTCGCTGGGCACCCTCTCACTGTACTGCACTTGTAGTATCCTCTGTTATTCACACAAAAAAAAAGTACAATTAATCAGTAACAGCGAACATACAAAAAATGAAGTATTAAAGATAATTAAATAAAACAATATTGGCTTTTTTTAGGAATATGCACTTTATAAAGTAAACAACCTCATGAAAAACTATGAGGAAAATAAAAAGATGATTTTCAATAATGAAACATTATAGCCCTATGAAAATTGGATTGGGAAGACTTTTGTAAACGCATTTTCAAGATTAGTTGTCATATATAAATCATAAACTACCTTAATTTAGTCACAAATAATTAAGGATCGAACTGTTTAACTAAAAAAAAATCATTAAAGAAAGGTTAATAAAAGACTCAAAACCATATAACTTCTGAGTCTCTCTACAGCACATCCCACATCTTTTGGTACAAGATAAGTTGTGTGTTACATTGCACAATCGTATGTTTGGAAAGGTAACAATTAATTTAAAATCGATCTAGCACATCTAAATTACATGACAATTAGTTTTGGATGGAAAGAAACGGCGGACAATCAGCACATGATATACATGCATGGTGGGTCATAAGCCATTCAAAGTTGACTAAGCAACCCAAATGAAATTGATCAAAAAAAAAAAAAAAGTCAAGTGTAGTTACGATATAATGTCGAAGAGTGTTGAATAATCGATGAATCAAGATGCATGGTAAACAAGTCAAAACAACAATTGCTAAAATTCAAAGCGTTTGTCCTTGTGAAAAGAAGGGTCAAACCCGTCATTATTCAGATGAGAAAGAATATGTGGTTGGTCAGACTTTCGTGTGTACTCCAAGCATTACGTTCGCAGCCATATTGGACTTTTATTACAAGAAAAAAGATTTCTTCGTAAACAATTGCTCTAATTGATTGGAAGAGTTGAAATTAATCAATCTCTTTCGCTCTTTCTCTCTCTTTATGTAATGGTTTTTGGTTTTTTTGGATTGATAAGAGTCCAAACACTTTGTGGCTTTGTTAATCAGCATGAAATTATTTTACAAAAATAGGACCTACCAAATAGACTAACAAAGAAGAACTATACTCATTTGATTTAAGATTAATGTTCACGAAAAATATAATAAGTTTTACGAGCATACAAGTAAGACACATAAATTGCATACTTAATTACGTATTTTTTAAAGACATTATATTTACTAGGCAGTAGGTCTGTATAATAATAACATGGAACAAAACTACGAGTACAAAAGTGGTACTCGTATAACCTTTAACAATGTCTTAAAGGATTGAAATGCTACGAGTACTGTATATTATTTAATTTGTTGGAAATGATTGTAGTATAAGGAGTACACCTTTTTAGGTAAAGTTACATTGGATACCAATCACTAGACATTGCATTTTCTTTAGACTTTAGCTATTCCTCCCATTCAAAAATTATTACTGTACCCCGTTAATTTATTTATTTTAAAAAAAAAAAACATTATGTTTATGTTTGTTTATTGTAGTTTGACCAAAATTTATAGTCGAGCCCCTCGTCCATTATTGTCAAAGTCGAACTTTGATCATTATTTATTTTCTTGAGCACCCATTTATTTTAAAATTAAAATAAAATTATTAGCCAATCTTATAGTATTAATGTACATTGTATTTGCACAAGTCTCCCATAACATACTCTTAATTGACAATTAACAATTAACACAAGGAGTATAAGTACAATTCAACATCAATGAAAATACGAACGTTTTGTAATGAAAATCGAATATTGGTATTCAAAGATGTGCATTAAAAACACTAAAAATAGTGGGAATATAATGGTCCGTACCTTGGATGTGGGGATCCTTTGATAGGTTTTTGACCATACTTTCTCCATGAATAATCATCGGGTGGTATGTCTGCCATCTTCGCGCTTATTGCTGGTACTCTCACGATTCTCTTTTGCCTCATTTTCCTATTTCCATTTAATCAATAAATTAATTCATTAATTTATTTAACAAAAATACAATTTTATAATCTTTTAATTTAGGAAAAAATTAAAAGATGAGTTACCTCTTCTTAGAGCAGTGGCAACGACCAGAGGGCCCACCACACTTGCCATTCTCGGAAAAACACTTCCTAACCTTAAACGACGACGTATGAGAAAGAGGCGGTCTTCCCACCGACGAAACCATCCCGGAATAATTCGTCATCTGAAACGACGTCGTTGTGTTGGTACTATTCGCAGCAGCAGCACACGGAGGAGTATTAATTGTATGATGGTGATTATTATTCATCAAAATATCCTGCTTATTATCCACGTCAGCAGTCAACGTTGACTTAACGGAGTTCCCCGCCGAGTACGAGAAATTAATCGTAGCCGTCGGTGCTACCACCTTGGTCGCGTAATCATACCCGTTCAAGGCGTTCATCTTCATCGGCGGAGGAGGAATTTGCTGAAGTGGCTTTGGACATAAAACGACACCGTTTTGATGCGGATGCTGTGGTTTATGGTCAACAGCAACGGGTGCCCGACGAAACCTGGCGTGGCCCGTCCGAGCCCGACCCAGAAGAGAAATAACCTTCTTAAACCTGAAAACGGCGTCGTCTGCTACGGCTTGATAATTCGAATCACTCTCCATATTACTATTATCATTATTATTATTAGGAGGAGAGAGAAGATGGAGGAAATTATGAACACTTTGAAGGCCGGCAGAAGTTTCATGAGCAATGGCTTCTTCCATTTGATGATGATTTGAAGAGGAGAGAGAAAGTGAGAGGTTTGAAGAAGATGAACCCAGCATTAGATCTACTGCCATTTTTCAAAAACCATTCCTTCAAAAAAATGAATAAATAAAAAGGAAGAGTAACGTTTATGTGTTTGTTGATTGATGATAAAAAAGGGAAGAAAGGGAGAGTATTTGATGGAGTTTGTTTTTTCTTTATTGATGATGGATATGTGTTTGTCCTAAGTTTTGGTCAAATTAGATGCCATCGGCTATGTTTAAAAAAGGCAAAAAGAAGGGGGGGTCTACTGTTGGATGACTGACCTCATACTTTAAGACCAATTTTGATTTGGTTTTGTCAAACTTAGGTATGAATTATCAACGATCAGATTCATATCATATCCCTATGTTTTTGATTTTTTATACGGTGTACCATATTTTTTATACGGTATATAAAATATGGAGTACTTCATACGGAGTAATTGATATTGTTTCCACTATTATTATAGTTGGTTAAATGACATATTTTGACTTTGAAAAAAAAATATATATATTCCGTGGTTAAATTAATTTTTTGTACTCTTTCGTTTTCTTTAAGCGTTATACTTTGACTTGACAATATTTAAAATATGGAGTATCATTTAATTGTCTTTAATATATGTGATAAGTGAGTTAGTTGAGATATTAAAAAATTTATAGAATAAGATAATTCCATTAAAGTTTTATTGAAATAATAAAGTATTTATTAAAGGGGAAGAAATGGGAGTAATAAGAAGAAAATGAGAATGAGTTTGAGCGGAATATAATTCTAAAAATGTATTGTTGTTTGTCAAAAATGCATTTGTAACTTTGTAAGACTGTAACACATAAAAAAAAAAAAAAAAAAAAAAAAAAGGGGCCGCATTTAAAGTTTGTTCATTTCAGCTTAATTTCAGTTTAGTTTAGCTCCTAATTTTTGTCTCTCATAAAATATTCATTTCAGTTCACTTCATTTCAACTCCAACCAGTTCAATTTAGCGCAGTACAGTAAATGTGAATAGATCCTTAAAAAACATACTTCCTCTGGTTTTTTTTTTATTGCACCGTGAGGGGTTTCACGCTTGCCAACGCATTTTTTTTTTTGCTATGAATAGCTTCAATTATACTTTTGTAAAAATTATAAAAAATTGATATTTGAAAAGAAGATTTCGAGACGAATCTAACTAGATCCCACATGACTATATTTTTCCGAATGGATAAATCACAAATGATGGTCAAAGAAGTTTAAGTGAATAGTGTAAAAATCCTAGTGGTGCAATAAAATAAAAACGAGGAAGTATAACACTTGCAAACGAAGGGAGTAGTCCTCCTAACTTCTATTTTTTTTATGAGTATAACGGTAAGAAAAAAAGGAAGGCAATAAGGAACTGATTGGTAACAATTAATGATATCAACAGGTAGAGTCATGTAGTGTCAACAAGCGTGTCTAGCTGAAAAATATACTATCAATTAAGAAACCAGATGAAATTTGCTTAATCAATTAGAAGTAAATGCGGATAATGTAGCCCCAAGGCTATATATAAGTATTAGATTTACTATTGAAAAATTGTACAAAATTAGAAATTCATGACAAAACACTCATAAATCGCTGTAATTAGAGTATGTTCTTTTCAGCTTATTTTCAGATCGATTCGGTTCTTAATTTCCTTATCTCATAAAATATTCAGTTCAGTTTCAAGCAATTCAGTTCAGCTCACTTCAGTAAATAAAAGCAGTCCTTTTAGTTTTATATTTTTTTTTTATTTTCTAACCTTATATGATTTTCTAGTGTGTATTTAATACTTATATAGTAAAGCCCTAAGGTTGATGTATAGCATTTTCCTGAATTAAATTATAAGAAAATTGATATTATAAAAGCATACATCATAACAAATTTACAAATCCAACAATGTATTATACAATAACATTTTTTTTTCTAATATTTGTAAATTAATCAAGTTAAAACAATTATGTAAATAGGGGAAAAAGTCAAACTATAACACTTATTAAAACGCGAAGAGAGTGCATAAATTTAAAAGACAAAATTTATTCCGCCAAATGACCCACAAAGATTTGAACATAAAAGGTCAACATTTGACCAAATTATTAAGGCAAGATAAAACAACACTAAGAGTAGACACAGCAAATAACCACTTGGGGTGGTTATTAGGAGAGAGATTGTGAGAAAATAATAAAATAATGAGGAGAGAGAAAATTTTGGTGGAAAATATTAATAACCTGGTTATTTCAATAACCGGTTATCATAGCTTGGTCATGCAATTTTTTTTTTGCTTTTTGGTTGACATGGATGGCTAAGATTTTGACACGTAATACAAATATCAATGGTTGAGATTTGCTCTGAATTTATAACCGTTGTAATTTTTGTAACGGCCATAATTTTTAAAATACAATTCTGAAAAAAAAAAAAAATACACCAACGGCTCTATTTTATTTTTCTCTATAAAATGAGCCCAATATTGAAGTATTTTGAAACAACTTTTTTTAAGTGAAAATTACTCTTCTTATTGGCAAATTGTGTTAAGATGAACATTCCAAAATCTAACAGAAAAAAAAAATCCACAAAATCTCATAACTCATCACAGCCCCAAAATAATCCAAATCCTCAACCTTACTATTCTAATCTTCCAATTGATCTCAACTCAGATTTAGATACAAATTTTCAAAATTTTCCGAATTACGGTTCACAAAATCTCAATTTCTCAAATCCAAGTACTTTCACTCCGTTTCCTTTTCAACCACCACAAAATCCTAATTATTCAAATTCTCCAAATGTTATCCCATCTTTTGAAAATATTCAAATCTCTCAAATTGATTCAACATTTCCCATGTCTCAACATTTTTCTATGTCACAAGGTGATGGTGCATTTTCGAGTTTCGATTGTTCATACACATCGAATGCATCAGATGACGAAAATGAACCAGAAGTTGAAGAAGGCGAAGGTAATGAAAGAGGTAATGAAGGAGGCAATCAAGATGGAAGGAAAATTTTTTGGTCAAAAGCTGAAGAAGTGGTTCTTGTGAAGGCTTGGCTTGAGGTTAGTCAAAATAAAAAAACTAACACTAACCAAAAGGGGGATGTTTTTTGGAGGAAAATTGAAGAAATGTATAATAATGTTAGACTATACAAACAAAGGTGTTTCGAAGAAGGTACTGATCGGGTAACACGAGAAGATTTGTTGAAAATGAGGGGTACGGAGCAACTTAGAAACCGTTGGAGAAGGATTAATGCTTCATGTTCTAAATTTTGTGGCTCACATGCTCATGCTGAATCAAAAAAGGGAAGTGGTATGAATGATGAAGATGTTATGAAATTAGCATATAGTATATATGCTAACGACAAAACAAAGTCTTCATTATGCTCTAAAACCTTTCAAGACAAGCATGTTTGGGACATCTTAAAACAACATGAAGCATGGAAACCAAGTGAAGATGTTGTTAAAAAATGCAAGGAAAAGACATCCACTCAAGGAAGTGACTCAAAGAGATCTCGTATCAATGAAGCTGGAAACTACTCCTCTTCATCAAACCCAGAAACACCAACCAGTGGTGATATTGGGTATTCAGGCTTTCCTTCTAGCAACGAATCTAGTAAAAATAAAGGAAAGAGCAAGGTGCCAAACATGCCAAGTGGAGCATGGCAACAATGGTTGGACACTGCCCAGAACATGAACCTTCTAAGGCAATCAGAAAATGAAGTTGAACTTACAAGGTTGCAACTAGAAAGGGAGAAAGAAGCAAGGAAGCAAAGAAAAATTAATATGGAGTTATTTAAACACCTCGATTCAAAGCCAAACTTATCTTCGGAAGATCAAGAATTAAGGAGCACTTTGTTGAAGAAGTTGTTCCCCTCAGACTAATGTATTAGTGTATGGTTGATTATTGTCGTAATGTTGGTTGATTTCAAATAATTCCTTTTTTATTGTTCTTTTTTATGTACTTAAGGTCTGATTTGTAGTTTGAATACTTATGGAGTTATTAAGTTAAATTACATGTCTCTTCTTATAATCGTATTATAAGCTTAATAATATTATTCAATACATTAAAGTTTTTATATAATAACATATAATTATTATTGATCTGACTAAACCTATTGATTCACTTTGATATATCACTGCAAAAGATGTACATTGATTTACATTACACTGTAAAGTATTTGATGTACCCAACACTGAAAAGCAAATATTAAATACTAGACATTGATGTACTTAACACTGAAAAGGTAATAGTGAATTTTGTTCACTGATGTACTTAACACTGAAAAGGAAATAGTAGCATGCATCACTTGCTTTGACGTACATAACAATGTTAAGGTGATAGTGACAATGCAAAGGCATGCATCTCCATTACTTTTAAAAATTATTAACTACTTTATGAATCATTGCATGCATGCAAGACTTCAAATTTACCATATAAGACAAAAAAATTACTACATATCATACACACTTGTTCTATAAGATGGATACATCAGAGTGGGATTCCCTTGAACAACCATCCATTTCCCCCTATTATACTTCTACCTTCCATTCTCATATCAAATTTGGTTTTAAAACATGTCATCTGACGATAGCTCCAACTCTTCTAATTCCTCTTCCAATTCAGAAAATAGCCAAACCCAACGATATGAAAGACGAAGGCAAGCCAATCGCCAGTTCGATCGAATGATGGATGAAGTTTTTATGTCCAATCCAGTTGAAGTATATCAAATGTTTAATCAAGTGCCAAGGCCACCAAGGGTTCCCGTTCCAAGGGATCGTGAGGATGGACACAGTCGTTTATGGAATGACTACTTTACCTGGTGCCTCTGCATTACAAAAATGCACCGCGGCTATGAGACTAATAGCTTATGGCACCTCCGCTGATTCTGTGGATGACTACATTCGGATTAGTGCATCTCTTGCAAGAGATTCACTTCAGCATTTTGTGGAAGGAATAGTCTCTTACTTTAGTGATGAATACCTTCGAAAGCCCAATGAAGAAGATCTAGTAAGACTACTAAGGATTGGTGAACGTCGTGGATTTCCTGGCATGTTAGGTTCTATTGATTGTATGCATTGGAGGTGGAAAAACTGTCCACTTCGATTAAAAGGTATGTTTTCTGGAAGACCAGGTAAACCCACATTAATCTTGGAAGCTGTGGCATCATATGATCTTTGGATCTGGCATGCCTTTTTTGGGACACCAGGTAGTCGTAATGATATTAATGTTCTTGATAGATCCCCATTG